CCGAACGATCTGTAAACGGTTTATTTTATGAAATGACAAAAGTACCGAACGGTTCGGTGATTTTTTTACCATCGATTCAGTTATATTGTTACCGAACTGATCCGTAAAATAAAATTGTTAATCCTTTTAGTTTTATTAGTTTATGCGAACAATTTGAAGAAAATTCTCTTTGTACAATGATATTTGAAAGTCATATTTATTTAAAATTATGCTCCAATATGAACCTGCAGAATTATAGAAGTGCGTGCATTGACTTTGAACCTCGCTTTGAACTCGCTAGTAGAAACTTCATTAGTCCAGCAGGGAACCGTAAATTCGTTGGTATAGTGTCTGAAAAACAATAACGCTTAATACCTATACATACAAAATTTCTTATGAAATATTAGAGTGATGTATTCATTCTGTATACCTGCTCAATTAACCGTGCCATTCAAAGATTTTTCCGATCACTGTCCACTACTCGATTTTACAGTTGAAATAGAACTATAAAAACATGGTTTGCATCTTGATTTGACAGCTTGAAATAATTTACAACAGTTTTTTCGTTTTTTTTTACCGAATTCGGTGTTTGCTTCATTTTACAGTTTGTTCTGTAATATGTTTTACAGAGTTTGTTAGTTTAATAAGCAGATTACCGTACGTTCGTTAAAAGTTTACCGAATTTCTGTAAAATTTATTTTGATTGCCGAAAAATCTGTAATATTAATCGTTTACCGACTTTTTTCGGTAATAAATTCTCGAACATGGGAAAAGATACTGAGTGCGCGTGTTATCATAAGATACTGAGTGAGTGTGTTATCATAGCCTATTGATTTTAGTACCACAAGTTTGTTAATTTTCTTGAATGTAAGAATTAATTAGCATATTTACGTTTTATATGATCAATTTCCCGCGAAATAAGGTATTCAATTCAAGGTTGCAAAGACTCATTTCAGCTAAAACAATGTTTTTCTAAATTATGAAATAATTAGATGCCATGATCAAATTTTGAATTGGTAGGATACAAGAAGAGGTTGCAAAGAATGTGTTTGACATATTAAACCTGTTTATTTCACTTCATGAGAGTCACAATCAGCGATTTTTCACAAACTCACTCACTCACTCACTCACTCACTCAGCGATCAGCAAATCGCTGATTGTGACTCATAGAAAGCAAAATTTACAGGTTTTATGTTTCCAACGCATACTTTGTAACCTCTTCTTGTAAGTTACAAGTAAAACATGCCATCATACCATCTTTTGGTTTTATTATTCCGAAAAACATTATTTTAGCTGAAATGAGTCTTTGCAACCTTGATTCAATTTAGAGTTGCGTTTATTTATTATGTTTCAACATAAATGCAATACAAATCAGTAAATAGAATCGAAAAAAACATCCATGAAGCAACATTGATGTCAACATTTAGCTTCAATGTAGAGGTCAATGCTTCAAAGTCAATCTTCTTAAGCACATTACTTTCGATGATCAGCAAGCAAAAATAAGTCAGCCTGACCTTAATTTGCAATTAATCAAAGCTATTTTGCTGAAAGATTTTTTAACTCAACAGAACAATTATACGTTTATTGATTTATTTGATAAAGCTCTATCGAATTAACTTTACAGAGCCGAGGATTCTTGTTCACTTTACAAAACATCGTATAACTAGAGTCAAAAGGTACAACACAATAAACACTTTATCTTCCGCTATCCAATAAGCCTCCGCCATCAGAATAGGATCCGCTTCCAGTGATTTCATTGTATGGCAGTATCGCCAATGGAGGGCAGAGCACTTCCATTGTAGCAATGGACGCAAAACGTGGTCATCAGTCACACACTCATTACTAGACGGCTTCTGTTCAAAATCGACGACGCGTCGACTTAAATAACTGATGATGAAGAACAATGAGGAGGACCACACAATGGTTGCTGTCGAGTAAACAGGTGATCGCGTGACGCACATTGAGAGTGGTCTGCTTCAGAGACGATGTTAAATAAGAGACGTGCGAAGACTGGAGTCAAAAGTATCAATCGAACCGGCAAACGCGGTTCCAATCGAGTAATGTAAATAAACACGAGTGCTTCACGAAGAAAAGCATGGAAAGTATTGAGATTGGGGTTGAATTTAATTGTTAAGGTTGGTTGGTTGGTTGTCATGAAGGCTTTTCTGGTGAAATTTTTCAAGATAGTAACATTTGTGAACGATTTCAAAAGAGAGATTTCTCTAATACATGATAGGAAGCAACAATCGTAGATTGATTAATTTTGTGCCATGCTCTGTAGAATATAACCTCCAATGTGGTATATGTGGTTTCACTCAGTGTTGTCAAAAATTAAGTCTTCAAATATTTTAATTGAATAGCGCGACTACCGATACGGTTAAAAAACTATTCATTTTACCGTGACGCTGAATAGCGGCGCCGGTGGTGTAGTGGTAAGCGTGGTTACCTCTCACCCCAGCAGGCCTGGGTTCAATCCCAGTCGGCGCCGCCGGGATGTTCTGAGGCATAACATCTCTGATCACGCCTTCCTTCGGAAGGGAAGTAAAGCCGTTGGTCCCCGGTTCATGAGTTGATGAGTCGATAGGTAGGGTCCAGGTGTGGGAGCTGCCTTCCTGGCGTCGGTAGCATTGGTGCTCAGCACGGAAAACAAGATCGACGGAAAACAAATCAAAGAAAAAAAAAAAAAAAAAACCGTGACGCTGAAGCAGACGACAGTCGCTCAAATTAAAAGTTACTCGAAGTAAACACAAAATTGCGGGTTGCCAAACCTTGCAGCAAAATAACTGGCCGTGCAACCAGATTTACTTTTATTCTCTCCGCGCGTCTCTTATATAGCATCGTCTCTGGTCTGCTTCTGTCGAGTGAACACTGAACTGAACAATTGGTGATCAACAAGCTCAGATACATTTGCAGACCAATGTATAATATTAAATTAGAAGTTCAGAACTAGACTTTATGATTGAACGTAAAATGAAAATTATATGCTTTAGCAGAAAAAATATGATAAATTAAAAACAACAAATATTTACTCAGCCTCCATGGCCAGGGGTACCGAAGAAATTGCCCCCTTTGCTCTCCCCCTCCCCCGCTCCAAATCCGGCCCTGAGGGTAAGTGTGGCAGTTATGGCACTAGTGCATCAGTTTTTGACCCTAGTGTCTAACTCAAATTTGGGATACATTTCTATGGGTTTATTTGCATAGATATATGACAAAATCTGTGTTCTAGCCTTGCATGGAATTAAATTTGGTATAATGGAACCTCTTGGGACAAAAACTGTAACACTTACCCTAATGGAGAAGGCTAAATTCACAAAATAGACACGTGTAATTGGCAAATTAGCATAATTCCTTGTGGCAAAAAAAAAAAAAAAAAAAAAAAAAGTTCAACGACCAACCAGTTTTTGGAAAATCTTCATCGTAACAAAGCTTTTTTGCGAGCTTTTTTGGCAATCAGTGCTGAAAAGTGTAACTGTTTTGAATAACATAATGGCCTATTTTTCCTTACTAAAATATGCAACTTGTTGCATAAATAGCTATTTTGTAACGTGAGAGCACTAGCAAACCCAACCGTTCGCTGACAGGGCCTACTGCTCAGAGTACACTGTCATATATTTATAATTGAAGGTTCGATAAATTAATAAGAATCTCCAGCTGACAGCTTGTAAGTTCCCGATGTATTGAAATTATGGGCAGGGTTTCTTCCACTCACTTGCTATAGAGGAGTGATTTTCGGAGTTTTGAGTTCGTTAGATGTTGTAATGGAGATTTGTACTTGTTGGATACGGGAAGAGATTGAAGGGCTGGTGTTTGACACATAGGACCTGTCAATTTCGCTTTCAGGTTGTCACAATCAGCGATTTGATGATTCGTGAGCGTTCACTCAGAGTGAGCGCTCGCGATTCGTATAGAATCGTTGATTGTGACTTTAATTTTGAACGTTATTTTCCTGTATTTTTTGTATTTTCCTGTAGATTGAACGTTAATTTTCCTGTAAAATGGCCCAATTCGTCAATTAGTTAAATGTCAAAATAAAGCTTTTCTCTCGGTGCCAAACGGACAAGACCGTATTGTTCAACGTTACATCTTGTGCCAACTTCAACGGAATAACTATTGTAGATACGCGAAAAGTATGCTGCTACTTGTTACTACACTGCATCTTCTGAGAGGAGGAAGTACTCGTACCACCAGCTTCTGCAACAGGATCAAAAGACAATGTGAAAATGAACAATAAAAATGTCAACGACAGCACCCCTCTTCTAGCTGATGAAGAATTAATTTCCACTATAAAAGTACGCTCTTATACACGTATGACAATTGCTTATTTTATTGCGATGTTGTTTGGCGCATTTATGTTGTTCTGTTACTCAAAATGTATTTGCTAGATTTTCAAAATTGTTGCTAGGCATAAAGAACTTCGTTCAACTTATGCAATTAAATTCAAAATCCACAAAAAAAAACCATAATGCGATTATCTCTCAATGGAATCAGTGGCATGAATTCCATTAAAGTGAGAAGTTCAATCCCTTTCCTCCATCTACTTTCGATCACATTATTGTCATCGATGCGATGGTCGAGTTTCTCCCAAAGCAAAACTTGTAGGTGCTGCTCTAGCTGCAGTCCTCCAACTTTTCGCCATCATTCTTCTGCCCGCCATGGCTAATAGTGATGCGAGTGACAGTTTTATGACACCGCCTGAGCTGCAACAGCCACATACAGATGGTAGGATTCACTTCACTTTGCGGTGCCGATTGGGCAGACGGAAAATCTTGAAGAAATATCCTACGTCTTGTTTTTCGAAAGGGTCAGGCTGCAGGGTCAACCCGATGAGCAAGGGAATAGAATTATCTGTAATAACGACAAAAGGGAGGATATCCTATGTTTAATAGTGTCGAATCATAGAACGGTTTATTGATTGAGGTTTTATTTTAAAAATATGATGCTTTGGTTCTTTCGTTATCATTTCAAACTAACTTATAATTTCAAACATAATTGACTATTTTTTCTTAATAATCTTTCAACAGATTCCGCACCTGCCTCAAGATGGCCGATTCCAGTGATGCCAACATGGTCGGCAAACTGTTCTTCAACATTGTACAATCCAAATGTTTTGTACTGAAGCCGGAAACCGTGTGCACCAAAACATCCTGGTGGGGCAAATGTGAAAAGAAAGTAAGGCGGAAGCGGGCGCATGTTCGTGATAATAGGAAATATTAGAGCCACAACGTTTGCCAGCCCTGCTAGGGACATGGACGTCTAATTTCGCCGTAATACGCGGTTTTTGGTTTTGGGTGACACTCGCCAAAAAAAATAATTTTTTTTTTGGAAACAAACCAAAACGGAAATAATTCTCTGCTAACAGCAGTGAGGACTGGAAACCTAAAGGAGCATTATAACGATGTTATTTATTGTCTAGAGCGCTAAGTTTATTTATTAATAGCACAAGTTGGTGCCCGTGGCATCTCAATAACTGACTCCTTTAACAACAATGATTCCTATTAAGTGTAAGGACAGTTGTAGACGACAGATGTTTCTCTTTTTCGTGTCTTACAAAACCGGACATTCAGATGCCAACGTGAATATATACTATATTCGCAAAATTTCCATCATGCCAAGCTACCAGTTGCATCTAATTTTAGTGAACAAAAATGGTACAAACCCCATGACAAAAGTGTGAGCAACACAAAACAGTTGCCTTGTAAATATATCATTTTTTCATCATATTTCCATCTATTTATTGCTGATACATCTACGCATCCTAGGGTTTATGAGATCAAATAAATCCAGATAGTCGTTTAGCCAATTTAAGAAAATTTGAGATACAGTTCTTAAACTAATAAGCATAAATCAATAATCAAAAATCGGTCGTAATGCATAGCGACAACCAATTACTCTCATGTATAAATGTACATAAAAAGCAGGTATTTCTAATTTTAAAGTCACTACCAGCAGTAGGAGTTGAAATAATAAAATTATCTCGAAAAAAGTGATACAAAATGTACGAATGTCGATTTATGTGTGTGCTAGCGTGAATGGTGTTGAACGAGAAATGGTATGAGCTATGTTTAGATATCTACATAATGAGCATAGATGTAATTGGAAGACTACTTTTAAGAAAAAAATATAATATAAAAAACGTTAGAAAGTTTTGTTAAAAACAGCTTTGTAAATAAAATTCATCTGAAAATCTGAACTAATTAGACATCTTTTTATTGACTGTGGTTGTGATGACAAATATACTGTACTTTGATTTCTATTGGTAGATTTCAATAAGCAATCTCTATTGGTGGATTCCCATATGCTACACACAAAACAGATTTCTCTTACATGCAATCGAAGACAACAAATCAAGAAGACTGGCAACTCTTCCATTTTCTCATACGAACGCTATGAGACAGGTACAATCGCGTCATCTGCCGCTCAAAGGTAAATGCTTCGAACGAATTTGCTCATTTTTCTCTGCGTTGCTTCCACCTTCACTCAAGCGCAGCGCCATTGTATGTGTCGCTTGGATTCTGGCAAAGTTGCCAGTCTTCTTGATTTGTTGTCTTCGATGCAATGTAAGGTTGGATTTATTATATCCTTTGCATATGTTCCAAGCAGCACTACGATGAACATCTGAACGGCGCAGAGGCGGAGGACCAAGGCGATAGGAGGAATGGCTTCGTCGATACAGCAGATGAGGGAGACATGCCAGCTCCCACGATAGGTGAAGTTAAGGATGCTATCCAACAGCTTAAGAACAAAAAAGCAGCTGGGAAAGATGGTATCGGAGCGGAACTTATCAAAACGGGCCCGGATAAGTTGGCCACTTGTCTGCACCGACTGATAGTCAGGATCTGGGATACAGAACAGCTACCGGAAGAGTGGAAAGAGGGAGTAATATGCCCAGTATATAAAAAGGTGACAAACTAGAATGTGAGAACTATCGAGCGATCACCATTCTTAACGCGGCCTACAAAGTGCTTTCCCAGATCATCTTTCGCCGTTTATCGCCGCTAGCAAGCAGATTTGTGGGAAGTTATCAAGCCAGCTTTGTGAACGGGCGATCGACAACGGACCAAATCTTTACTTTGCGGCAGATCCTCCAAAAGTGTAGTGAATATCAAGTCCCTACGCACCACCTATTCATCGATTTCGAGCCCGCTTATGATACTATTGACCGTGAAGAGCTATGGAAAATTATGGACGAGAACGGTTTTACCGGGAAGCTGACCAGACTGATTAGGGCTACGATGGATGGTGTACAGTGCTGTGTGAAGATATCGGGTGCGTTATCGGACTCGTTTGAAATTCTAAAAGGACTTCGACAAGCATGCTTGGCATGCACAGTTGTACACACCAACTGTTCATTTGGTAATAACTTTTCACTCAGATGTTGAAAGTTATTTTTCTTCAAAGTACTTGATAGATTAGGCTCATAGTTTACTAAATATATGTGAAGATTAGGTAAAGCTTAACATTTGAATAAACACTAATCATTTTAACACTTAAATTCCAAGATGTGTAGTGAGCATTTCTCACCTCATTTTTACAACGCAAAAACATATACAGTTTACTAGTAGCATTAAAATCTACTTTTTTATATATATTTATAACAAGTTTACACTCTCTTCTATCTACTGCTTCAAAAATAACTATGTTCCGTCAACTGTGTGCAAAGTTATTAGCAAATGAGCAGTTCGTGACCAAAACTGTGTATGCCAAGCATGTCGACAAGGCGATGGTCTTTCCTGCCTCCTGTTCAACATTGCGCTAGAAGGTGTTATTACACGTGCGAGCTTTAACATGCGGGGCACGATTCTCAATAAGTCCAGCCAGTTCATCTGCTTCGCTGACGACGTGGACATTGTCGGAAGAACGTTTCAGGTCGTGGCGGAGCAGTACACCAGGCTGAAACGTGAAGCAGAGAAGGTTGGATTAAAGGTGAAAACATCGAAGACAAAGTATCTTTCACCTGGAGGAACCGAGCGGGATAGGGCTCGCATAGGCTGAAGCGTGACAATCGACGGAGATGAGTTCGAGGTGGTGAATGAATTTGTGTACCTCGGATCATTGGTGACGTCGGATAACAACTGCAGCAGAGAAATTTGTCGGCGTATTATTGCCGGAAGTCGTGCTTACTATGGACTCCACAAGACCCTGAGGTCGGGTAAACTTCACCTCCGTACTAAATGTACCATGTAAAAGACGCTGATAAGACCGGTAGTTCTCTACGGGCACGAGACGTGGACGATGCTCGAGGAGGACCTGCAAGCACTGGGTGTTTTCGAACGACGAGTGCTTAGGACCATCTTTGGCGAGGTATGTGAGAACGGAGTATGGAGGCGAAGGATGAACCACGAGCTGGCACAACTCTATAGCGAACCCTGTATCCAGAAAGTTGCGAAAGCTGGACGGGGACGATGGGCGGTACACGTTTTAAGAATGCCGGACAACAATCCCGCAAAAATTGTGTTTTCCTCGAATCCGGTCGGTACAAGACGAAGAGGAGCACAGCGAGCAAGGTGGTTAGACCAAGTGGAGCAGGATCTTGGAAGTGTGGGACGGCCAAGACATTGGAGACAAGCAGCCACGGACCGAGTGAATTGGCGTAACATTGTGATGCAGGTGCAATCCTGAGGGATGTCGGACCAGGATAAGTTAAGTACATAAGTAAGCATATGTTCCAAACAACAAATGTAATGGCAGTTCTTGCAATTGTCTGCAGCGTGCAAGCAAGTTTTTCCAGAATGCATATTTTTGAATAGAACCGTCACCTTAAAAATTACGAAATTATTTTAAAAACCTTCCAGCGATCACATTACACTGTTCATGTCGCAAACATTGCCAATTCTGTATACTTTTATTGCAAATCTGTAATAGAATCTTACATTAGGGGATAGTACGACTTTTCCCCGAAAATCAGCTCCCTGAATGTTATTTTTTCGAATATAACTTTTTCACGAATGCAACGATTAGCCGAAAAAAAAATTCAAGAATGTACCGCTCCCCAAAAAATTCACCATTTTATAATTTTGATAATTCATAACAAAACATATGTTATTTTCAAGACATGTAATGCTGCAGTTGGATTAATTCTTGAATACTAATTTACGTTATTTCCAAGGAATCAAACATATCTGCAAATGACAAAATTACAAGTAATCAACGAGCCGAATGATAACGCTTTGTCAGAAATGGAAAGCAATAAGCATCTTGTTTTTAGTTTAGTTTAGTTTATTTATTTCGTCAACCAACGTAGACTAGTCAAATACATATGCATACAGGGTTACTTCCACTCACTTCCTATAAAAAAAATGTTTTTCAGAAATATGAAATCATGAGATGGTATAGTGATAATTAGTACTTGTAAGTAACACGATGAGGACGTGAAGTATGTGTTTGACACATAAAATCTGTCAAAATTGCTTTCAGTGCGTCACAATCAGCAATTTTACGACTCGTGAGTGCTCACTCTGAGTGAACGCTCACGAATCATAAGATCGCTTATTCTTCTTATGAATTATATTTCCGTATGGAGTTAAAATATTGTTTTATTTTATGCCAAGACATTGAAAAGTCAATGGTTTCGCAGTATTGATTGTAAGAGGCCATATTTTGCATAATTTGTGCGATTGATGGGTAATGGTAAATAAATTTCATGACAACTCAGAACCAAGAAGATGCATAGATTTCTGGCAATGATTTCTGAGTTGCCAAGAAGGTGCATAGAAATTTAATTTTGATAAAAGTTCTGTTGAGTCAATGCGCTGCGAAACGATATCGTTTACAAATGAAACATGACAAACAGTCTCTGCAACTCAGCGCGCTCGGGCCGGTAGAAGGAAACGACCAAATTGTTGGCAAGCTGCTTTACGGAGTAAAGCCGAAGATGATGCACATGTGTTAATGGGATTTTTTTTTGTTATGTCTGTTCTTGATTCCGATCAAGCTATGTGTATATTGCAACAAAGCAGGCAAGTAATATGATGGGGCATGAAGTAGTTCGCCTCCTCGTGGTGTGCCCAGGCTTCCGGAAATCTCACACGTACACAAATGCGACAGCGAGCTGTGAGACGGAGCGTCGCATGACTCTCAAATCCATGGTGTGCTACATTAGTTGTACAAAAGAGAGACTAGAAAGATGCGCGCGACAAGCTACACGCTCTCAACAAATTCGAGCGTTTAAATTTTTTTGTCTCATCGCATAGCTCTCTCAATGCGACGCATGTATCCAATCACACGTCATCATTGCGGACAACCCCATTGGGCTGTCCCCTGAAGTTTTTTTTTTTTTTTAATTTCAAAGACGTCATTTTAGTAAAAATGTGAAACACTGCCTGTAACAAAATCTGAGCTCACTTGAATACGAATTCATATTGCACTGACCTTTTAAAGTTTATAGCTTGAGCCAAGGTTGCAAAGACTCATTTCAGCTAAAACAATGTTTTTCTTAATTATGAAATAATTAGATGCCATGATCAAATTTTGAATTGGTAGGATACAAGAAGAGGTTGCAAAGAATGTGTTTGACATATTAAACCTGTTTATTTCACTTCATGAGAGTCACAATCAGCGATTTTTCACACACTCACTCACTCACTCAACGATCAGCAAATCTCTGGTTGTGACTCATAGAATGCAAAATTTACAGGTTTTATGTTTCCAACGCATACTTTGTAACCTCTTCTTGTAAGTTACAAGTAAAACATGCCATCATACCATCTTTTGGTTTTATTATTCCGAAAAACATTATTTTAGCTGAAATGAGTCTTTGCAACCTTGGCTTGAGCTTGAGCTTGAGCTTGATTGACCGCCCACGGTTGCTACTCTGTTATTGCCAGATCAGCTGTAATTACACAGAGAACCAATAGACGATGCTTGGGACTAGCAATCATCCTCAATGTGTAAAAACTGGTGATCTTAAATTAGGCAATACCAGCGCCGGCCGCGCCCGAACACAGGTCAAGAAAGGAATGGGAAAGATTGTGTTGACATGACACTCGCTTTGATGGAAGCCGAGAACACCTCTGCACTTCCACGAGGAATCACTGGGATGTTGGATAAGAGGGTTGGATTTGCAGCAGGGTTCGTTTTGGTAAACGATAAGCTGAATTGATGTCCTAACGATCATATAACGCGAAGGAGCTTGGGACTAAACCCACGGTCTTCTGCTCAGTAAGCAAAAACGTTTGCCACTAGGCAGACGAGCACCTTTTTAATCACCGAGTTGCTGTTATTACCATGTAGTCATATTAACAAATAAAACGATTGACGAATCTTGAATGTGGATGGGCCTGAGATTAGACTCATGATGTTCTGCTCAGTAAGCAAAAACGGTTGCTCTAAGGCCACCGAGCCCCTCATATCACATAATACCGTTGCTCAAATTTGTGTATCCATTCAAACCCGGAACCAACGACAACAACGAGTTTCGCAAAATACACAATACACAAGCGATTTTACCATAAATCTCTTTGATATGTAAGGACCTGGGACCGCATTTTTTTGCTCAGTAAGCAGGCCACTGTAACCGACGATCTTTCAAGTCCGAAAACTAAAAACTACGAAAAAGTACTTAGGCCTTCATTAAGTTCCACTTTCACGCGACGTTCAATGTTTCAATTTGCTCTTTACGAATTATTCAGGCTATAAATGGGCCTTTTTCAAAAGTTACGTGAGAAATACGCACAATCGTCGCCTACCTCGCCTATTCATATAAATCACCACAGCTCATTATCTTCAGCGTTATCGGTTTTTGTTTCTGGATTTTTAGTTGCCTCTGTGATATACTTACTTGCGGCATACTATTTTGGGAGCGTATATGAGCGTGTACCATGTACGGTAGCTCATCTCTCATCGTGATGGTGGAACATAGTAGACAAATTAGAGAGAAAACAAGGAGGTATTAGCTTTAGTTATATGTAAACAAACAAAACAAAAGAAGCGAAGAGGAAAGAAGAGCAGAAAAATAAAAAAGGGGATAAAGTAGATAACAAAGAAAAGAAACGTAGGCAGATTATTAGAAAAGGCATTATCTGAGACCTCAATCAAATGTCACTCCCGCCGAGATCTCAGCGAAACCCTCCCCGGCGAGACCCGCACAGCCGAGCTCGGTAGAAAAACTAAGTGTGTAGATAGATTAGTAGGAAAATAAATAAAACTACTTTATGACTCAAAGTGCAATGAATGAGCGTTAGTTTCGGGATCATTTCAGTGTTAGAGTTATGTTAGTTTTGATCAGCCCTGCCGACCCCTCCAACATTAGTTGCAGACAGTGGTTGTTAGATAATGCGGCACTGTAACTACTACTATTTTAGAGGTATGACTCGTCAAGTTTACACAACTCAATGTTTCAATTGAGGCAAACTATCTATCTTACAATTACAAAAGCAAACCTAAACTTACAATTATATGCAATTGCAAAATGAAACTTGACAAATCACCGTCAATCCCTAATTTTGATCAGTGAACGGGCACCATGTGGTACATTTTCTCACCATGAACCTATCATTTCCAGCCTATCTGAACTATTTAATAAATGGAAGCCATAACATGGGTTACGCTCCCCCTAAGCGGGCCCTCCGCATCCTGTCTCTGTCTTATCTCAAATACAAAATGTCAATGGTATGAATGTATCTATACATAACTTGGAAATGACGTACAATCAAATAAACCCGTAACCCACTCACTTGGTCAGGCTTCAGAATCGTCCAGTGGACAGTGCGCTCTACACTCCAAGTTCCCTTTTTTTTTCAAATTTACCGCAAATTTGATATTTTACCCATTGAGTGTTGATTAGTCACAATGAAACATTGTGACAGAAGTTGAGGTAACTAGTGTATTAAATAATCTAGGTCCTATTTAGGAAACCAAATCTGGCCAACGCCCACCCTAAACCTAAACCTGTTCTAATCCACCTGAAATGACTAACGTATGGAAGACTTTGACTACCCAGCCATGCAATAGTCTCATTCCGTGCCTTATGGCAACTTGATGATTCTATTGCGCTCATCTTCTGGCACCACCCAGGGGAGACTTGGTCCTGTACCCAATGCTTAACTTATCTCCATTCCACTCAGCTACTCGCAATTTCTTGTGATATAGTGGGAATATATAGAATTATCTGAGACAATTCAATGCAGACGTCTTTCCAAATTTGGCAGATCGACAGGTAATCGGTGATTTTCCACGATAGTTGCTATTCAACAACTCGACAACGTACCATCGTCAACGCCTGCTATGAGAATTTCCCATTGCAGACGCCAACGAAATGACGTCATCGAGCTATCGATCAACTACCCTGGCTATCGCCTGGTACCTTATAGCACGATGCTAGGAGGCGAACCGGAAGAATCGATGAGCTACCTCCCCCTGCACTGACCTTTTAAAGTTTATATGGGAATTACTATGGGATCCGTTTACTTTTTGTTCACATCATTCTAGCTCTTCACTGTACTGCCGGTGGAAGCAAGTTCCTCAAAAGCACCAGCTTGAGGCGTATGCTGACCTTATACTCTACCCAATTCTCTAACTCCGTAGTACTTATGAGGGTGTCACTAGTTGGGTGGCCTCTCGTTGAGTAACTACTGCATCAATATTTCCTTCCCTATCCCTAGTTATGGTAAAGATAGTCGTGGCCGGGAATAGCAACAGTCATGTTTTGGTAATTTTGTTTAGATTGGAAATAATGTTTACTCCTCAGCATTATTCCTGAAAGCAGTCTACTAAGAATTTCAAAAGTGACGTGAGTGTTACTAGTAACCAATCTAAGATGTATACCGAGATGTATACTAACGTGTTGATCGGAAATCCATTTCAAATTCTTCTCAAGAGCAGTTGTTGTCGTCGTCGGTGAGGTCGCCGCCGGGATCGAAATTTACGGACAGAGAAAGTTGAACGGGCAGTTGATCGTAATTGATTTGCGATATACGGAGCTCGGTGGCCATGTGGTGACCAATAATGTTTACTGAGTAGAAAATCATGGGTTCAATCTCAAGCTCCCCGACATTATAAAGTAATAGTGTAAATCATTTTTATATGAGATAAAGCGTAATGATATCGGTTAGAGGAACGAGTACGTAAAAGAATTAATATTCGAGTTTTAGGAAAAACGTGTTGATCAAAAATCTATAACAAATCCTTCTCAAGAGCACCCTAATAAAATTTGAATGGTTATTTTGCTTAACGACGTGTTCAGGGTACCATCCAAATCATTTGTTCTATTATTTGGGCAGTTATTATCGTCATCTGTGAGGTCGCCGTCGAGATCAAAACATAGTAACAATAAGCTAAACGAAAACTTGATCGTAATTGTTTTGTGATATAAGGAGGTCGGTAGCCTAGTGGCGACCGATTTTGCTTACTGAGCAGAAGACTGTGGGTTCGACCCAACCTCCTTCGCGAGGTTGAATCGTTAGGGCATCAATTCTGCATATCGTTTACCAAAACGAATCCTGCTGCGATCCCAACCCTTTTATCCAACATCCCAGTGATTTCTCGTGGAAGTGCAGACGGCTTTCTTTAAAGCGAGTATTACGTTAACATATTCCTAGCCCATTCCTTTCTTGACCATCATTCGGACGTGGCCAGCGCTAGTATTGCCTAGTTTTAGATCACCAGTATTTAAACATTGATGATGATTGCTAGTCCCAAGCAACGTCTATTGGTTCTCTGTGTAATTACAGCTGATCTGGCAATAACGGAGTTGCATCCTCGGGCGGTCAATCATGCTCATGCTCAAGCAAAATAATTTAAAGATTCATTCTCATATTTTCGATCAGTGCAATAACATGTTGGTGAATAAATTTTCTTTATTACAACAAATTTTTCAGTTAGTTTTGCATTACATTTTTTTTTATTTGACGTTATTCAAGCACAATTACGAAGGTGATACATATGTGTTTGTTTTGCTTCAAAAGGCTATGTTTGTTGTTTTGTAATGCAAACATACATATGAATTGCACTGCACTAAAATAGTATGTTAAATAAAAGAATCTAGCAGTTTGTCAGTGTCTATTAATATTTTCAAAGGCGGTTATGGCTGTGATAACTGTTGGAAACGGAAAAGGAATGTTGATGTAAGAGTCGAGAGAAGGGTAGATAGATCAATAATAGGAGGCGTTATAAGTTTTGTTTATAAATCTTCGAAGGAATGTGCTTAAATATTGATCTGGGTTAGTTAGGTTGGTTATAACATGCATCTGACATCCGTGTACAAAGCTATATGGTCGTAGAAATGTTATCCATGTTTTTTGATTGTGTATATTTGACATATTAAACGCGTTGAATTTCAAATAATTTTACTTCAGTGTCGTACCAAATTGCAGGATCCACGTTTCTGTCGAATAAAAAGATTTAAATAAGTATTTAGTCATACTCTGAAGGCTGTCAGAATTATACCTAAGGTAAATGACACCCCACATATAGGTTCGGAACCAAGCGGTAGTTCCACTGTTTGCCTGGTATTTTCGTATCAATATGGGATGCGGTACTGGTAGCAATCCTACCAGTGTACCGTGTTGGAGGAATTTTAGAATCTCCGACTCATCAGTCAATCCTTTATCGATGCATATTTTCTCCACCTGTGGCACAAGCACCTGTAGCAATCTCATAATGGTTTGAAGTGGCAGTTTGGAGCGCCATGACTGGACCCATTCCGGTGTCGGTTGCCATATTTTCGCCTGTGATCCGTGACCAGCTCCCGGTGTGACACGAATACTACCACGCTGTAGTGAAAAAAAAAGCTATTTACTGTTATCAACAAAATGGGTTTTGATTATACCTGAGCAACAGATCTTTTGATTGGGGACGGTTGCTCCTTGCTTGGTGATCCTATTGAGGCTCGATCGGCTTCACCAACCGGAGTTTTCGCATTAGGTTCAATCGGTGATGGAGTAGTTGCCTCACCAGATGGATGAGCAGATTCCCGTTCAGTCATTTGAGTGATGTCAGGGGTATCTAGAAGCGTAACTTTCAAAGTTCCTGGCTCCGCAGGTAGAGCAGGACGAGAACCCTCCATCGACTCTTCTACGATCTCACTGCGGCTATCTTCCTCATCCGATGGTTGTCTATCATCAAGCGTTAATTGACCAGTTCTGACCGTGATATCTTCCTCACTTTCATTACCTACATTAGCTGTAGACGGTAGCACTTCATTGTTCTGTTCGTTTCGAACTCCATCTCGAGTTCCTCCATGACTAGAGTTGTTCAATTTTCCACCTTTTCTGTTGCTCATGCATCGGGCTATTCCAGCAGCATCCGTTGGCAAGTTTGCCAAGGCGTGGAATACCTGCCGCTTACGTATGATGGTGTAAACCAAATTGGAGTTTCCATCGAATTGATACTGGATTATGTTGTTGAATATTTCCAATAAGAAAAACACCAGGTGATGATTAGAGGGTGCGGAGTATAGGAACCATGGCGTACTGAAGGCTTCTAGTAAATGAAGCAGTTTTATGCTGGCAACCATCGAGAGTGTTTTCAAGTATGGTGAAACGTTTACCAGAATCGTAAGTAGACAATCAAACAAAGGTTGCAGTCGCTGATGTCCGGTTGCAATGATTTTGTGAAAAACCGTTATCAGAAGGTCAGCATGAGTTCCTGTGAATACAGGAATATCCATCGGGACCGTGGCGGTGTACGGTTTGTTGAGCCGAACTCCAAAGTTTCGTTCACCGGACAGTAGCAACAGTATGAATACTCCAATGTGCATAAGACCGACTCGGGCTGTTGCATGAGTGAAACGATGAAATGATTTTGCTTTATTATAGTTAATATAAACTTACATTGGTCAGCTCGGGAGTCATTCAGATGGTACAAGATGGGTACCAGAATATCCAAAACATCACTGCTTTTAAGTACGAAATATAAGAATTTCTGAAAATGATTTACAAATGATTAATAATGATAGCCTTGAATTATAAAAATACTTATTCTAAACGTGACGCAATTCATCTTTGATGCAAAAGGTGGGTATGGGATGGGCCTCCCTTAGCTCAGGAATTTTAAGGGATGGATAATGTCGCGACTTTCCTTGGCATAGAGTATTGTACTTGCTACACAATATAAATAATATCATATAAAGTTGGGAGTTGGCGTAAAGTCCCAGTGGGGAGTTAATAAGCCAAAGAAGAAGTGAGTTCCGAAATTTATGCAGGAGTTTTTCTAGGCGTGAGTACGAAGTTAAAAAGTATATAATTAATCTTTTAAATTTGTCGAGCCTCTTAATGGAATCCTGGAGATTGAAGAGCTTTGAGTGTGTTGGTTTATTTCCTTTAAATTCCGTTATAATTGCTTTTTTTTGACAGATACGCGTATTTCGTCTACTACTTGCAGACTTAATCAGTGCCCAGTACTCAACACCACCAAGAGAAACTTGCGGGGGAAATCGGTAGATACTTTCGGGGTAAGTCAGACTCTTAGGGGAAGTCAGAAGAAGCTTCCTGAATAAATTGCAAGAATATCCCGGACCTCAGAAGAAACTTCTGGATGAGGTCTGCAAAAAACTCACAGATTAGTTCGAACGAAGCTTCTGGAGAGGACCAGAATCATTTCTGGGGGAAGTCGAAATAAGCCTCCATGAGAAGTTGGAAGAATCTCTGAAGAGCCATCTTGGAAAAAGCGGAAGACCAGCGGCGTTTCCTTAACCTTAATCTACCTGTGCACCAACTCTCAAAACATAAACAATTATCAAAATATTGCTTGCAATTGATAGATATCGAGTAAACTAGAATGTTAAGTCAACCGATTCGAGTATGAATATGGCATTAAATCTGGTTTTAAAAGTTGGTCTTCTTTCCTTTATTTAACGTCGGTCTCTGTTCCGTAATCTAGTGCCAATCACCGACGGACATCGATTGCCATCCATTGACGACAATCGAATGTGCAGGAAGGCAGCTTCCACACCTGCGTAGGATATCGCACCCATTCAACACCCATGGGCCGGGACCAACGGCTTTACTTCCCTTCCGAAGGAAGACGTGACCAGAGATTGTGATGCCTCAGAAAAATCCCACCGACCTCGGCTGGGATTGAACCCAGAGCCATTGGGGTGAGAAAGCAGTCACGCTTACTATTAAACCACTGACGCCGGCTTTTTTAAAAGTTGGTGCACAGGTAAAAGTGAGGTTACGGGACGCCACTGATTTGTATTGATAAGTTTATTAGATTGTTCGACTGGTATGTATAGAGATTTCTTTTACATGGCTTTCTCAGTCTAGGGTATTCCAAACGGTCAGTTAAGCATTCGTGCAATCGCTATCAGAACAAGGAAAATGATGAACAAAACGTGGAAACTAAGAAATATAGGAAGGTCGAGCATGTATGATTCCCACACTGAAAATTTCAATGAACATTTCAAAATGTCGTATCAGCTTTGATAGATTTTTTTAGAATTTCTCTTTTGAGAACCACTGCAATGCAAACAGATTTCACGCTATTTTTGCCACACAGTTTCATAAAGGAGGTTCTTATCTAGCATCCAAAACGTCAAAAATAACAGGGAAATGTTTTGCAGCTGAGTGATTAACGAAAGAGAAAGTTGATGAAAAGAATGTTTATCTAGAAATCTTGATTGATTTTAAAATAGATCCTATGCCCATGGTAGTCATTTAACATAATCAGGACCACACTTGCTATATTTTAGGGATCCTGGAAGGAACCAAGACAAATCAAAACAAGACTTTGGGCAAAGATATTTAATAAACAAGATATCGCACTAACAATTCCTCGAACAAGGCAATGGATACACCACCCTTACGTGATCGCAGTGCCATCTGAAACAGTTGGGAGTCCCTCGCCAACTTCACCACCAGGGCTCAATAAATGACAGGTGTCAGTATGAAAAATGCCAGCCGAGCGAATAAGATGATCGATGTCACCATCATTATATTTCGATAGCAAAATTCTCACTTTGTTATGATTGCATCGATTTTCAATCATTACCACGTTATACGCCACAGAACCAAGCACACATCCAAGCTGGAATTGTAATATGTTTTGCTTTCGAGTGAACGAGTTTCCAATATCACCACCGGTATCAGTAAGATGCATTGTTTACAATAGCAGATACGTCCCTTCGAAAAAGTAATCGAAAATTGATGATTTGGGAATCTGTTGCTCAACATAATCTTTATAAGCATAGAAATATACTTCGGAAAAACGCAACGGTTCGAAATCATTGCTAACCAAAAAATAATAAAATATGCCGTCTTCCTTGGCCAACGCTGCACGCATACATTAAAAAATTACGTTGGAATAATGATTACTTTACTACTTTATAAAGAAGGTATTTGTCAACGCCAAACGTCAAACTGAAGCTGCCAAAGCTGAGTGATGACACCGCTTCGTGTTTTGATTTGCGCTGTACCCTCCGCTCAGTGGTGTTGGTTCGTACATGCATAGATGTTGGTGTGAGTGGCAGTTCAACGTTGTATCGTCACCAACCTATTGGCGCTGTTATCTGTCTCTATAAATTACAAAAAGTAAGGGGGTATGCCCTGGGCCTAATTTTTTTCAATATAATATCAAAAACGATTGGGGGTTGGAAATTATCCACGGCCCAAATTTTGTATGGATAACTGTCTACGCAGAGGGACGGGAGCGGGGTCAAAAATAACAAAAAACTATCTACGTAGTTAATAAACAGCCCCTAGGAAGACGGAGGGAAAGGTGAAAGGTAATTTCACCCGAAATCCCAACCTCACTCTACTTTTGCACAAACTCTCAAAACATAAACCATTGTCAAAATATTGCTTGCAATGGATAGATATCGAGTAAACTAGAAGATTAAGTGTATTTATTTGACTATCAAGTTCTCCACAGAATCTGTCTAATATCCAAATAGTGCGGCTACTGCGGACAATCCCAGGTGCGATAACGGACGTAACTGAGTTTAAGTTGGAAGCAGTGGCGTCAATAGCTAGGCAGATTGTAGTCTCACCGCTTTAAATTTTAAACTTACTTGGGAGCGCTCTCAAGTGTACCTTCAATGAAAACACAGAGTGTGGCTCTAAAGTGCGGATATTTTGAATTTTGATAGGGAGATTTAAAGCACTAAACTATCTATTTTAAGATGGGTTAGCTAAAAATTAAATTGGATTTAACGTAAGCATATATATTAAAAAATAACGAAAAAGTCGATCCATCCCTGCAAAAACAGTGTCGAAAAGTTACACTTTTCAGCAATGAATGCTGAAATAGCTATTTATACAACGAGTTTTTTTCCTTTGATTTGTTTTCTGTCGATCTTGTTTTCCGTGCTCAGCACCAATGCTATCGACGCCAGGGAGGTATGCAACGCTATATGCAACAAGTTACAAAAAGAAGATTTTGTTGTAACGAGTTGCATACAACATTTTTTAGCACTCATTACTGCAAAGTGTCACTTTTCGACACGGTTTTGCATAACATAATGGCCTACTTTTCATAACTAATATAAGTGTCGAAAAGTATTACTTGTCAGCATCCAGTGCCAAAAAGATCTACTTTTGACACACAGTGCAAAAATGTTGTATGCAACTCGTTGCAAAAATCGATTTATTCAATACTCGTCATAATTATCCAACGCGGCAAGCCTATTTTTGATTAATAAACTGCCCTTATTTTTTTGTTTTATTTTTTCTTACACAGTTGGCGCCACTGAGTCGCAAAACAGTACGTTCTTAACGATTTCTCGATAACGATACAACCTATCGACTTGATTCGAATCACATTATCCGTTTCAAACCACGGATAATCAAATGGCAAACTTTAAAAAAAAATCACAATTTTTTGTGTAAATACATTTTTTTAAATATATCTATATAGACCATAACATACTAAATTACGAATGGTATCAAAATCCAATATAAAAATATTTTAGCATGTGAAATGAAAATCTTGCTAGGTTTTTTTTACACGGTACATATCCTCCGTGTAAAAAAGACCTGAGTGTATTTTAATTATGTTGCCGCTGACTTTTATCGAAGATAACATATCAAGTAGACTGGAAATTATTCCATACGTCCGGTATGAGACAGGCAGAATCGCGTCATCTGTCACTCAAAGGTAAATGCTCCGAACGAATTGGATAGCAAAGGTTCCATGCTCAGAATAAAGGTTTGTGTATTTGCTAATTTTTCTATGCGTTGCTCCCACCTTCACTCGAGCGCAGCGCTACTGTGTCTGTCGCTTGAATTCGGGCAAAGTTGCCAGTTTCTTGGATATGTTGTCTTCGCTTTTATGTTCTTAATTTGTAGTACAAAGTGTGTCGTTTAAAATCAGTTTCTTAGTTTAATCTGTTTAAGGATGTAAAATATCAATCTAAAACGCTCTTCTCAAATTCTCTTAAATTTGACGGCAGAAGTTATAGTCAACATCATTAGGTAGTTGATTTCAGCAGGCGACTCCCCTGACAAAAAAGGCATCAGAAAAATGAGATGTTTTACACTTGTTAATGGAAAACTTTCTTCCATACTGTGTTCATAAGGGGAAGTTTACCACCCCAAAAATATTTTTTTTTCGGCGCGTTTTTATTTTTCTAAAATCATTGGGAAAAATTATCAAAAATCCAAGAATATTAATTTATCATGAAAAAAAATAGACGTAAACGTAATATATATATTTTTTTAGCGGTAAACTTCCCCTTAATGGTATCCTAATTTTGAGTAAATAAGACGGGCTTTGTTTTTTGAGTAGATTAAATATCAAGTGAACCGCTCTAAATTTTACAAAATTGTTAAATGGACATCCTAATGATGTAGGGGAATTTACGTATTCTCGTCAATCTAAGCAGTGTCCACACTTCTATTAGCATTTTCTTAGCGTCACGCACATATATGACGTGTCTGTTGGTTTACATTCATCTGCTGCTTGCTTCTCTATCCGTTTTAATCGACAGAATTCTTCAAAACTGTTTGAAAGCGTTTTTACAACGCTCCAAACTTCTCAGGTGAGTGTGACTATTGTCGGCAGCCTCGTTTTCTTCGGAAACCTTCCCATAAGAACTGCGTGTTAACCAGCTGTTTTATTATCGGCAACTTGAAATCAACCCCATTTTAGAGTACGTATGCTTCATTTGAATAAAAATCTGCCATAACAGGACTGTGATGATGTGTGTTGATGGGAAAACATAGTGAAATTAACGTTTAAATTTTGGTTGCCGAAAACAGTCAATGGGTGCCGAAGCCGACATTTACCCTATGTTGTAAATGTGAAACGTAGCAAAAACGAATAATGTTATAAATAAAACAATGCAACCTTCAACCTGCCCCTAAGACGTAAGCTGAATCTTGTGAGAAAACAAAATCACATGAAATGAAATGAGGCACATCAAACTTTTGAATAATAACAATTTAGTAGCAGGTCTAAAGAAATAGGTTTTTGAAGCTGTGTTGCTGTGGTGTCGCGTCGGTTGGTTTTTCATTTCGTTTGTTTTTGGTGCTTTGCCTCCGTCCCAAGAAGAGTTTTACCGGGTATTTTTTTTTCTTTTCTTGGTGCTGGCGTTCTGCCTTCCGGAGGATGCACGCGAATGAGGTTTTAAGCAAAAATTCTATGCAAATGAAAAACTTCGAATGTGATTCAAAATGTCGTGTTGGGTTGAAAATACAACGCGGAAGATTTTTTCGATTACCGCGAGTGAACAAACCGGTCCTTTTTTGGAGGCAGAATTTGGTGAGATCCATCTGATTTATAATCAATCATAAATGCATATTTCCATACATTACTAAATACGAAGTGTGTTGGCAGTACCATTATTAATATGATAATGGTAGTGTTTACATGCGGGGCTTATTGTATGTGAAAGTAACCTCGGAATGGACGTGAATTACCAGGCATTCTGAAATGGGTTGCTGAATCTGCAGTAGAGCTATCGCTTTCTAACTCCCGGATTAAACTTGCTTCAAATTATAACATAAAGGATTGTTGTAAGCAAATTTCTTCCATAATACCACTGCCGGCCAGTGGGGGTAAGATTGAATACACACACACACACAGGTCTTAAGAAATAGGTTTTCATTTTTAAAGAACGTAATGCAGCATATGTTTTTCCATACTGCTTCAAAATGTAAGCATCCCATTCAATATTCTGTTGAATTACTAGTAATTGAATCATAATATGGTACAAGGATTTATGACTGGTTGCCATTCAAATGGTTCTTCTACCTACCTTATTATAATCACAAATTTTCCAGAAGAACACCAATAGCTCTTGGTGACAGTGTAGCCTCTTTGTCGAGTTTGGTAGATAGCTTTGCACCAGGGGGTTGTTCAGTAAACGGGTTACGCCTTTCAAAATAAACTGGAAATCATCATCCCGGTGAATACGTGACAAATAGTTGATGAAAAGGTTGTCCGCAATAGTTGTATCATCATGCGAATACGACGCGGATTGTGTTGGTGAATTGCTGGTTATATCATGGTCTAGCGTTACAATCAGAATCTGCAAGCAAACTTCAACCATCGGCTCCAGGGTATCGGTGAAAAGCAAATGATTGTAAGGAACGCCTATTCCTACTGGATCATATGCACACACAGTGTTTAGTAGTGACGTGAATAATGGCAACGCATGGCGATTTTCAGCGCTCGTAAAGTGTACAATCCATTTATTGGGTTCGTCGCTCATCGTCGGAACACGGTACATAGTCTCACTGAAGCATGTCAACAAAAGCTTAAGAAGCTCAGTTCGCCGTGAGTCCATATTTCCATTGCGTGGAGGAGACTGTGCAAATCCGACTCCAGCTTCCCAGATGTATTCACAACTATCGATCGAGTTCAGTTCTTCCGCCTTTTCAGGTCCAGACTTTCGTAATCCGACAACAGTGAAATCCGGACAGAACAACAAGTCACAGATGGCATTCAGTAGACTTTGAGCCAATGGAGTCGCATTATCATCTTTATCACTTCCTGAAGGGAGCGACGACCAGAAAAAATCTTTCCATTCTGCATCTTCGAAGATGTACGGCAATATGCGATTTAATAGGCGTACGCAGTTTATAACGGTTTGTTGTTCTCCTTGAGTCCGACAGCTGTTGTCTACAGCCCGAACTAGCCTTTCGGTTGCTTTGTAGCATAAAGTTGCTAAATTTGTAGGCATTACATCTCTTACTTTGCGTATCTCATTCGAGGGAATCAATGCAAAAACGTCCTGCACAGGAGTGCTGTGTTCGATCCAAAATTGCTCCCAAAATACGTCATCACTTGCATCGATTGGCTGCAACAAAAGTAGGTAAACATATGGAAATATCATACCACTCAATCACAATCATGTTTCAAAATCAAACTTGATCTTTTTTATATATTTGCGTTGATGAAATTAAATGTATTGATTTACTAAAGATTAACCAGATTTTAATGTAATGCCATTATTGATGTTTTATTTTTTGACTACTAGAACATTAGTGAACCATACCTGGCTTTTGCTGGTGAGCTGCACAATTGCCTTGCGGAAATTAAGCTTTGTATCTGTATTACCCATCTTTTATCACTGCTTAGTACTGTTTTAAGAGGCTTCGTATCACTTTTTTCAACAATTTTCGTTGAAAATCGTAATTTTATCGTATGTTTTTGAAGATTACATCGGATTTTCAAAACCTTTTCTCCCGCACAGATAGATGTCCAAACGATGACGAGTAAATGACAACACATAACACAAAGAAGGTAAAATCTTTGACAGTTTTCGATTTCTTCGTTTTTGCCTTTCTGCCATTGATCAGTTCACGAAGATTTGCCGCACTCTTCTCTCACCCGTAAGTTTTGACAGTTTTGGGTGGTTTGTTTTGGCTCCCATTCGTTGCTATCTCTTTTACTCAGAAGCAAAATGATAGGGAGCAAAAAGTGAGGTTAGGGACCGTGCACTGATCTATAATTCAAGAGCAAATTTTCATTACGTCGAATGTAACAAAGGTAAACAAAGTCGAGCTATCAGTGTCAATCGATGCTCCTGCTATTACACTATATACTGTCCGAATATAGGATCATATCCCATTTTTAAATTTATTTACCAGTCGAATTGCTTTTTGACGTAATCACCTTTCGATCAAAATAGTTTTCGATGTTACTTAAGTCATCCGATTTCTATGGAGATGCCGTTTGTCTTAAGTAACAGCACTGAGAAACCCGTGAAAAGTGTACTTTCGTCGTTTCGCTTTCTCATTATTCAAGTGAATAAATCGAACTGTTTGTTGCTAAGATGATTTCGGTGGTCCTAAAATGATGAATGGGCTGCACGTAAGGAGACGTAATTGATAATTCTCCCGAATATCCTGGTAAATACACTTTGACTTAAGTAACAATAGGGGCCACCAAACGACGTATAATAACTTTTGACTCAAAAACCAGTATTTCGTAGCATGAAAGCTAGCGATTTGCCTTTGTATGATTGAAACCCGGCTGAATATGTTAAACATTGCTATCACTATGAGATTATATGTGTTTAATTGGAAATAGGAATAACTTTTCGGTCATCAAAACAAAACTTTATTTTTCTCGGATCGGTGCGAATGTTACTTACGACATAATGAAAATTTGCTCTTGAATTAGGCTGCGTTCGAATAGAGAATGGTGTTGATAGATACACTGGAATGGCTTCAGTTTCAAACACTGTAACTGGAAAGTACCCATTAATGGGTGAAAAAGTGCCCATTTCGAAGTAAAGTAGGTAAACTCATTTAATGGGTAAAACGTCTTTACCCATTAATGGGTAAAGACCTTGTACGTCAAATCATGGGGTACTTTTTTACCCATTTTTAAATAATAATTGGCTTTATAAAATGGGTACAAAGTACCCAATTTTGAAATCCTTAAACCATGATTTTTCTTTTAGAATTTGTATGATTTATGGATCATTGAAAGAGCCACAATGAATAGTTAAGAATACAAAACGTTATTTATATTTATATCTTTATTTCACCATTTTCCATCCAGTGGTCTTTCCATCGTTCGTGCAAGAAATGGTGCTCCCAAAGCTCTCCTGGGATCTCCTTGCTGATCCGGCTAGTCCCTGCAAGTTTCAGATTGATGTTTAGATGTGGGCAGAAAGAAATAAAATAAGAAATACCTACTTTTCAAACGAGCAATTTCCATTCGACATCGTTAAGACACTTTGCGACTGAAGCGAGGACTGGAAGATGTTATCTAAGTTGCTTTTCACCCATTAATGAGTAAAAAAGTACTCATTATTCTCGCCCGAAGCGCTCTGAGAAATGGGTAAAAGAGTACCCATTATTTGAAATTGAACTTCACCCATTATTTGACAGCCTCATATAGTCATCAAAAATGGGTCCTTTTTTACCCATTAATGGGTACATGGCAGTTGCAGTGAATGAACCATTTAGTAACACGCTTACTTAAGCTTACTCACCGGGTAAGTCGACCGTACTCAATTTCGTCTGATGCATTAGGTTGTCAAAATCTGAGTAAACGAGAAATGTCTAACTGAGTAAAAGTCACTCAGTCAGCCAAATCCGGGACTGCCAAATGCCAGCCGTGGTGGAGCAAACGCTCTACACGCTAAGACAGGAATACCTAAAAGTCGGTAAAAAATAACGATAATCGCACAAAAGTGCACATACCTAAATTATCGGTAAACATCAATTACCTAAAATTAGGTATTGTTGGTTGAGAATCGTTAACGTTAATAATTACCTATTTTTAAACGTTACTTTTTACCGAAAATTAGGTTTTTTTTTCTGTTTTGTAGGTTTTTACAATACTATCGCGAGCGCTGCAGATACTATTTTAAGATTTTTTTTGCAGATATGATGGTGCATTCTTTACTCACTCAGAATTATAAAAACACGCAAGCATATTCAAAATCGTTGCAGAATACCTTTGAATTTCAATTTTTTTTAATTGCACTGCAAATTTTACTGCTCATTGATCAAAATCAGTATATCCAATACCTGCCATATTCACTACAATCTGGTTGGTCAACCGCGTATGGTAAAACCGTACGTTGTACAATAAAACCGTAGTGGTCAACCGATTGGATTGCAGTGTATAAGCAGGCATAAGAGATGTATGATATCGTAACACGCATACGGATTTTTTAATATCGGTCCCGCACAGTACCACGGTGAAAATTTTTGCAACGATTTTAAATATGTTATCTAATATGCAGGTTTTGTTCAGTTATTTTATTTTCCATGTCTTAAGCACTAATCAATAACAAACAACAAATTAAAAGAGAAGTAAATTAAAGAATAACGTTTCGATCGATAAGAAAAATTACTCCGAACCAACAATCACCTTCTCCGTTTCTTCTGTTTCATCTTCCTCTATTTCCTTGAAAATTGCACAGAGAGCATTTACTATGGCACGCGTACTGTAGTGGGATGTTTGATATGTTGAGATTTCAACAAACTCAACAAATTTGATCAATCCCGGTGGTACCTTCGTTCCAAGCACGGTGAATGATTTGATCAAAACGTCAATTGCTCGTGCTGCCAGCTGGCCACAAAAAATTACTTTTCCATGTACAAACACATAGTACTCCCCCTGCTTTGGTGCATTTGCCAGACATATGATGTGTGGGTGTTCTGCTGGTGGTAAAGCATTGGACCAACCTTCGACGGGCTAAAAACATATAGAATAAATAATTTCATGAGTATGAATCACGTGGGATCTATTTGATTCGTACCTTAGTCCATCTGATGAGAGGGGAGGCAACGCATTCAACGGCTGAGCGATTTGGATCTCCATTTTCGTTTTTAATTCCTCGTGTGGTCAGATATGCTATGGCTCTGATAGCTCCACGAATTATTTCTGCAATATCAAAATATATTAAAATAATGGTTAGCTTATTCTGAATACTGTTTCAACATTGGGATTTTTACTTTAGATAAAATTGTCACTTCTTTAAGCTTAAGGAATATGCTTTTTTAGGTATTGTCTGTTTCTTTGTAGACAAAACACCCGAAACCCTCGTCATAGGAATTTCTTTGGTGGCGATTTCTGCGACGGGTTCAGTGCGTTTTGTTTCCAAAGAAGCAGACAACTAGATTTTAAATGTCGTCAATGCTATACATATGGCCAATTAAACTAAAATATCTGGACCAATGCAGGTAAAACCAATCGTATGTAAAAAGAAAGGTGCTTACTGTCTTCTACTTCGGGGAAGCTTTGATGGTTAAGATATAAACATTTCATCAATGTTTGACGGATGTCAGCTTTCGGATGAACTTTAGTTAGACGCTCGAAGGCTTGCTGCAACTGAAAAAAAAAATAATTACATACGCAATTGAACTAAGTAAGAAGTTACATCAATAAAACTAGCACACTTAAAGTTACCCAACTAACAATTTTAGCTGCAGATTAGCTTATACAGCCAAAAATTGGCTTATACAGCTAATTTTTGCCTGTATAAGCTAGTCTGTAGCTAAACTTGTTTGTTGGGTAATGCTATACTTACCATTATACCACTGAACGAGCACAAATGTGGAAAGATGTTTAAAATGCAAGTCGGTTCTGATTTAGCGGAAAGCAGCTGTTTATGATAATCATATGTGTCCTTCATCAAATCATTTATCTGCTTGATGTTATCAGTATTTGCTGCTAAAGCAGCGCATAACTTAGCCTTCTCGGATGTTATGTTATCTACATTAGGTGTTGAGATCGAGGTTCGATTAAATTTACGTTTATTCTTCGGCAAATCTTTCCGCATATTATTCAGGCGAGTTTCAATCCAACCGGTGTGATGATTACATGGCCCTTTGCCACCGTTACGCCAAAAAAATGAAGCCTGAAAACATAATATGACTGTTAATATACTACCAAGGGAATATCTATTACGTTCCATGAAAATTATTATCTAACATCGAAAATCTAATTGCAACTGAAGGTTCATAAATAATATTAACTAAATATACAGTCAACTCTCCCTAATTCGATTTTGAAGGTACCATCGAGAAAGGGAGAGTAGACTGTACTACAAGGGCGTGCTATGTTTATGTAACATATAAAAGCAGATTAATGTATATTCTACACCTCTCATCGCATAATTCTTGTATTACGTAATATTTGAAAGGGTCCTATACTAACCTCTGGCGGAGCAAGCTTGTACGGACGGGTACTTTGAAGATGTGGAAAAGCTTTCAATATGTCCAAAGCAAGTTGGTGCTTCTCAGGTATTCCAGGGTGCCTAAAAATATGTTGTCAAATTAACCACTGATAATGGCTTAATCGCTATTATATTGATAAGATCTTCCTCTTAGATGTACCTACTTATTGTAGTTGTAGAGGTCCTCGGAAAATCTACTGTGGCACAATAAGCGAACCATTAGGCAAATCTCGTTTCGTTTCGGTACAATTTCTGCTAGGAGTTTATTGTAGAGGATTCCTCTAAATTCCTTGAACTGTTCAAGAACTGTACGTATGTTCTAAATAAGAGAAACAGAATGAGAAATTGAGAATAAGAAACAGAATGAGAAAATTTAAAGGCACGAATAACAGTAAATAACATATGGTACTGTACAACACATAATCTAATAGCAGTCCCATACAAATAGGAAATCAATCAATGATGGAACTGGTTTGTATAGTCATAGGCTGATATGCGCTTATATAGCATAGTCACAGACAAACAGACATAACACTCACAAGTTGTTCATCGAATAAGCATTTAACGATCAATTTAAAAGTATTTTAGTTGGTAGTACCACAGACAAACAGACGTAGCTCTTTGAAAAAGTTTTTCTTGAATACATAGTATCTCAAAACATAGGACCACAGTAACGACATCTCTCGGGCTTCTCGTGGAAAACAAGCTTGCTTGCTAAATCGCAAACAATGTTGCAAACAAGTTTGATAGAATGTATAGAAACGTCAAAGTGATCCGATGCCAGCGCAGCAGCGAGTAGTTCGCGGAACTGATAATATTCAAATCAACCGTTAAATGCGTGAACGAGGATGCAAAATTAAGAGTTACGTCTGTTTGTCTGTGGTAGTACTGCCACCTGTGGCACGCATAGTCAATTCCCTTGCGTTTGACGTTTACACACTACCGCCATCTTCAGCGTACTGCCCACTAAAGAGGCTGAATTTATAAAGAGACGACATGTCAAAATTGGAACAATCGATTGTCTGTCAAAGTCATAGGAAAAGTCATTCCAATCGAGCAGAAGACCTGTCAAATGGATAAGATGTCGCCTCTTTATAAATTCAGGCTCTTTACTGCCCACCACAGTGTACTCAACAGATGGCGGTAATGTTTTAGATATATTTTACAGTGAGAAATATTCAATGTGTTATGTCTGTTTGTCTGTGGCAAAGTCAAATCAATGGTTAATATGTAATAAAACTTACTGTTGTACATGAAGCCGAGCTCGATGCCGATGTTGAAGCTTTACACTCGACTTCGTGTAGTGTTTCTTGATGGTTTCCTCTGAGTTCTCCATGAAATGGTTTGGTGGATGGACCAGGCAAAGATGTCTTTAAACGACCAATAACTCCTTGGATAATTTTTCGTGGGCCAAGTTCGAGACCAAGGTCAATCATGTCTTCGTTGGTAAGCATACAAAGCGAGTTATTGTCGATTTTTGCCGCTGCAAGGAACAAAATCATGCCCAAAAGGTTACTTACTGTAGATTTTTATTTTGAAATAAAGTTAACAGAGTGATATCAGATAAACGAGATTTTTCTGCTGGGCATCAATATTTACAATCATTTATTCATCGTAATACTTAAGGCTAATGTACATATAATCATCCGTGGCATTGACAGGTTTCCAGAGGTTGTATGTTTTCCTGGTAAGCATAGCATTAGCAGAAATTCTGAATATGTCATTTGTAATACAAACTTTATAAGAATTATACTGCGTGCAAAACTCGAATGTTTGTAATTCTTGAATTATGGAAATGTACACTCCTTCAAAGAGAATAACGGCTTGTAGAATACCATACACTCTTTGATTACACCTTGTGTACTTCACAATGAAACCTGGTTTAAAACTTGTTCTATTGATTTTAATGTGATTAACTAGAGTTATTTCGTTGGGTAAATCGAAAAGAAGAGATTGAAAATCAAAAACAAATTTCGAGGCGCATGTAGATGATATGATAATGAATTTATCAACGGCATAATCATGTTTCAAAATTTCGTTAACCTGTTTGAGATTGATACGTTTAGTTAGACTGTACGTCAAATTTCTAAAGTTATTACAATTTTTCGCTTGACCTTTTGTCATTTTGAATTTGGCTTCGAAAGCCATGCAACTACCGTAGCTTATCGGTTGATTATTCTCTACGATTTTAGCATAGTGTGATATATGATGGAGTTTATTTATTGGATTAACTTGTGGAAAACACTGCTTGAAAGTAATATGAAGTTCAGAGACTGCATTGTTCAACTCACATACCATATCAATAGTTACTTTGTTAGAAAAGGAAATGTACGTTATTTTAAGAATAAGCCTGATTAAAGTGGCATGCATGCTGTTAGTAAGGATAATTTCCGGAAAAACGAAAGGGAACGCTCTGATTAATAACCAGCATTGAGAAGCTGACTGGCTGATAGCGTTACTTTTCACTTTAAGCGATTTAATGGTAAAGTTTGGTGAAGGCTTGTTTTCCACCTCAACTTCACCATACTCAAATTCTTTCAAGCGTTGGTTCACGGTGTCTACACTAAGAATTTTGCTAATGTTAACAGCATCATTGAGAATTAATTTCAGAATCATACCTCCTACGCCTTCTAAAACATCATGCATAGGGTCAAACGACCAATTATTAGCTGCATTGTAATAGTTCAGCTCGTGTAGTGAACACTGTTTTACATTTCCGCAGTTTGATGGGGTTTTTACTTTTTGTTCGATCATCATTAAATCTCTTTCCACACTCTCGGGAGTCCTTAAAGCGAATTCATCACCAATCGTTCCTTGTATCATATCTTCGCGTCGTATATAGCATTGACGACAAAAGTAATTCGCTTGGGGTCCAAGCATTTCAAATAGTTCGTGAACAGCTAGAGTATCACCCACTACGTTGACGAGCACTGCATGAAGGGTTATATCTTCACCATTTCTTTTTAATGTTGCTCCTAAGTCTGATTCTAACGCCTTTAAATCTTTAATCAACGGTTTTAAAACAATATTGAATCCATGCGTCTTAATCATTTTTGAAGGAACAATTAAAGTGAGGTAGACATTGCTGAGATTCACGTTTGCAGCAGGGTGCATATTTTGAATTTTAAAACTTACAACTGTTAATTTTTTTTTCCCTTTCCGAGACCCTAAAGGATTAAGAACTTCAATATCGTCAACATGTATTGATAGCCGCAATGCATAAGGAAAACGCTGTAGATACGAGTGTTCTTTAAATTGCAACCCATCTTTGTACCCAGCAAACACACCATCATTGCGTGGTTCTTCATTACGAACCATATCACGTGCTTTTGGATTTGTCATGATCAAACCTAGTGTATCTATAATTGGTATGTAGTGTGCTACATCCTTTTCGTGTGTTATTTTCTGAATGTATCTCAAATTCTTTGGAATTCGGCTTTGGATCTTCTTGTTTCGGGAAGGTCCAATTAGTACACGTTTGGTTATTCTACGTTTCGCCAAAGTGATTGTTTTTGGTTGTGGTACTGGACAGTTGGCTTTCATAGCTAAGTAGTTCAAATTATCGAGAGGTGTTTTGATTTCGTTGAACACATTTGGTATTTCCATTGAGTTGAAAAGATCCACCACATCTTGATCATCAAAGCGCGAACCCTTTTTGATCAAAAACTTTTTCAATTCTGAAAGCAGAAATCTTTGACACCACTTTAAGGTCGTTGAGCAGCCGTCCATAAATGCTTGAATTTTGCTTTCGGGCAAAGACACATCACTACGAAGGTCTGTTATCTGCGCAGCCATCTCAGAGGAAAATTGTTGTAGATCAATCGGTGGCTCAAAGAAATATGGGTTTCGTATACCAGGAAACTCCATACACTCTGGTTCACGAATATCAAGCTGTTCCATCTCAACGTCACCATAATTTGGTGCTGGTAGTGGTTGTCGTGGATGGTGATGGAGAATATGCGTTTTCAAGTGGAAGAAGTGGTGATATGTAGCTGTGCACACAGAACATTTAAAAGGTACTGTATTTTTGGCACTTGTTTTCAATTTATGTACCACTTTGAAATGCACCTTGAGCTCTTCCACATATCCTTGGATAAACGCATTGCAGCCCTCAATTTTACAATGAAAACCTTGAAAGAAAAACAAATAACGAATCTCAAAATTGCAAATCAAAACCTTCGAGACTTTTTAAAAACATTTTTAAGATTGTACACAGCAAAAAAAAAATGTAATATCGATCAACGTAATTCAAGCTGATGTATGAAATAATGATGTACTAGCAAAAAGCAGATACAATATTACATTAATGGATGTAATTTTGTTCGCAAAATCGATGTACATTGTACAATGTGATATTACACAACCGATGGATTGACCTGGTTGCAGCAGTTTCGATGTAATATTCAACAACTTTTTTTGCTGTGTAGACTCCTTCAAAAAGTTTTATCTGCATTGAATTGATAGATTCTTTTTATAGACTGACGCTTTTTAAAACCACGTTATCTTGGGTACACAGCAAAAAAAATTGTAATATCGATCAACGTAAAAAAAAAAAAAACGACTACGTAGTTTATGAACAGCCCCTGGGTTGTGCATACCAATGTTAAGCAATATATGCATCCAGGCTTAGATACATAGCTCATTAACTTAAGACGGTTCAACAAGGAAATACATTGTGAAACAAACGTTTTTAAGTAAAGGATTATCTGAGACGAAGCCATAATGCCTTGTTCAGAATACAGAGTTATAACATGTTATAACGGTTGTCAAATAATAGCAACACAGAAACCATCATCTAAATAGCGCTATAACATGTTTTAACTCCATAGTCTGAACAATGCATGAAGGTGGTATAAGTTAACATTTTTAGAAGCTCTACTGTTATAGTGATTGGAATTCAGAGTTGAGAATGTATGAAGCAACAAAACTAATAAATAAAAAGTATACAATTTACCGAGACATTTAAACGTTGTCCAGACTGTTATAACGGTTGTCAAATAATTTTAGAGATGAACTAGCCTAAGGCTAAAAATCTCTTAAATAAAGAATTTAAAAAAAAAAAGGTTGTCAAATAATTGCAACACAGAAACCACCATCAGATAGCGCTATAACATTTTATAACTCTGTATTCTGAACGTACTATAACCATAGAGGTAACTCTAAGACTAGAAGGTCCCGAAATAACATGCTCAACTTTTTGGCTCAGCTCTGGTACTCTCTTCGGTCCCAAGCTAATCGATTCACCCCTCGAAACATAAGAAAAACGAATAACCCCTCATTTTATCTGTCAAACTTTCATAGCGAATCAAAACAAACATTGCGTAGTACTAGAATTTCGACTAGAATGGGGTACGTTAATCGTTTGCTTGGGACCAATAGGCTAGTCAAGTAGTGAGCCAATTTAAAATCGTTAGTTTCGTATTGATTGTTGCTATAACTCACCTTCCAGTTTCTTCCATGTATCCTCATCGACTGATGACCTTAACTCATCCATGATTTCGCTTTTACCTCACTTCAAGATTGGTTTGGAATTTTACTAGTAGCTTGATTTGACTGCTCAGTGGAAGCTAGAATTAATAAAAAAAAATGTTTGGTGGGTTTAAGCACAGGCAAAAAATCGGCACTAATAAGATGTATGTCAGCGTAGTGAAAGCAGAAAAATGGCCAGCGAAGTGAAAGCAGAAAAATGGCCAGCAAAGTGAAAGCAGAAAAATGGCTTGCGAGGCAGTAAATATTTGAAAACAGAGCTAGAATAAGGATGTAACAGCTTTTGTGAAAAATGAATTCTCCTGATGATTTCTCACTTGATGGTTTCTCACGTAAACCAACATCAACACAGGGTAGAGGATGACTTTTCCTACCGATGGTTATTTTGGTTTTCGTGGGAGTATCTCGAATTCATAGAAATCATCGAGAGAAATTGTATTTTTTTACAAAAGTTATTGCACCCTTATTCTAGATTTATTTTAATTGTTACTCACCCTTCCGATTGGCCGTCGTTCGATCACGAATGGCGAGGAAGCAGTGGAGATGCCTGCTAGATGGACGGGAGGGATACCTGGGGGATGCTGGTACCTAAAATACGCAAAACAAACAATAAATCGGTGTCATTTTGTTTGATCCGGTTTGTAATTCAAAGACATCAGCTTTTGTAAACAAAACATCTTGCGACCTTTTTTCATGAATCAGACCTCACCTACGCATACCAACACTGCTATCAGAAAGGGAAGCTTTCACAGTTTTGCACGGGTGAGCTCCGATCAATGAGAAAAGGCCGCAAGATGTTTTGTTTACAAACGCTGATAAAGTCTTTTCAATATTTTACCTTGATTTCATTTACTCACCGGGGTCACCGTTCCGGAAGGATTGCTGCAGGATGTTGCGATGGGATTGGCCACTGATAGCTAGAATTAGGAAATATTTATAAAAAAAAATCAGTATTTGACGACGGGTTTGCATACGAACACATAAGTGAGGTTAATTTTTGTTTGCTTCACCAGCCAATTTTTATATTTATTTGTTAAGGATTATTAATAGGCAATTATACTCACCCTTCGTATTAGTCGTCCTTGAAGTGAAATTCAATTAGGTATTTAAATTTCGGTTTTGTAGAAAAAATTCACTTTCCACAAGCACAAGCACTTGCCGTCATCCTTATTGACGAAATAAATAAACAAACAAGAACTTGTCGTCAGCGTTGCTGCTCGTTGCACAGTGACAAAATTTTAACCCAATTTTAGGTAAAAAATAAAGTAAATATTTGAAAACGCACTTTACTCATAATATTAGTAAAAAGTAACGTTATTTATCGGTAAATTTTACCTATATTCTAGGTTTTATTAGCAATACCTAATTTTAGGTAAAATTAAAACCTATTTTTAGGTAATCTTATCTTAGCGTGTAAGAAACGGCGAAATTATTGTATAACACCATCAGACATGTATTAAACGCTATCCAGACTGGAGAGTTATAACATGTTATAACACGGATACAAATTTTGTTCATTTAAAACAAAAATATAAATGTTTACACTCTAAACATATGAATTATTCAAAGTAAATTGAAAGCATGTTTAAAACACAAATATTTATGTTTGAATTAAATTCAAAAGCATGTTTATCTCAACAATATAGCATTTGGGTAAACGGTTTTTAGCGTGTCATGCCTTTTTATTTCCTTCTTGTTACATTCGGAAAAAGTTGCCCCACCTTTGCTCAACTCAACAAAAAACGGCCCGAAAGTGGCAAAACCGAAGATGGATCCGGAAACCAGCTCGACAAAACCGGCAGAACTTCAGTTTCTGATGCCGATCCCTATATCATCCTCCTCCACACGTGACTTCGAAAGGACGACGAAAATCCGAAATGGATTTTTAATCCATTCCGGATCCTCCCCCGACACCGAATATATAAAGAAACCGGTATGAGGACTAGTGGCATAACAACAAAACGACGCTAATTTAACAAATTTTCACCGGTTCCACTGAACTGGAACCCCCGGACACCCAATCCGACGAGTCCCTGCATCCCAGCTCAGGACCCCAATATCCACAGGTCACCCTTAATTGCAGGGTGAAAGAGCAGGAATTTAGATGCCCTGCCCGAAGATCTTTTTTTTTCATTTCTTTGCAATGCGTTTTATCTTGCTTTACCCTGCACTCAACTATTAAAAAAATTTCAAAATATGTATGTTTATTTTAAACATAAGAAGCATGTTTAAAATTCAAATATATATTTTTGTTCGCATAGCTGTCAAACCAAACAAAAACAAATACGTTTGTTTTCGACACGAATATTTTTAAAATAAACGTAACATTATTTTTATTTTAAACATTGGTTTCACATGACTTCAAACATGGAATAGGTTTGAAATCAACCTAATTTATTTTTGTGGCCAGAACAACCCGCATAAACGCGAACCATCACATGACCTTACCGATAATGGTTATAAATTGTTTATAATCCCTGCTAAACTTCAACTGAAATGGTTATGGAACCTTACATGAACGTTTGTGTGATAAAGTTTTAACCTTATGTGTTATGGTTTTTTGGAAGCGGACCTTACAAATAATGGGTTGTTAAGAACCATTACCATTCCAAATTCTTGTTTTCTCCATACATTTTCGGAAAGAGAACTATATTAGAACGTTTTTACTTATGGTTTGAGAACATTAATGGTTATGGTTATGGTAGTCAGTAAGGTCCATTAATGGTTTTGTATTATCGCTCAACTTTACGTGAAATATATCGTGAATTGGTAATCAGTAATTTACAGGCAACCAATTCGCGATATATTCCACATAAAGTTGATCGATGTTACAAAACCATTCATGGACCTTACTGGTTACCATAACCATTACCATTAATGTTCTTAAACCATAAGTTAAAAGGTTTTAGTAAAGTTTTCTTTCCGAAAATGTATGGAGAAAACAAGAATTTGGAATGGTAATGGTTCTTAACAACCCATTATTTGTAAGGTCCACTTCCAAAAAACTATAATACTTAAGGTTAAAACTTTATCATTAAACGTTCATGTAAAGTTCCATAACCATTTCAGTTGAAGTTAAGCAGGGATTATAAACAATTTATAACCATTATCGGTAAGGTCAATTTTTGGTTCGCGCTTATGCGGGAAACTGAGTTTACGTTTAAATTTACCTCAAATATTTTTGTTTTGACGATAGTTTTTTCTGCGTGAACGGTTGTCAAATAATTGCAACTCAGAAACCACCATCAAGATAGCGCTATAACATGTTATAACTCTGTAGTCTGAACGTACTATAACGTGCTCAACTTTTTGGCTCAGCTCTGGTACTCTCTTCGGTCCCAAGCTAATCGATTCACCCCTCGAAACATAGGAAAAACCAATAACCCCTCATTTTATCTGTCTAACTTTCATAGCGAATCAAAACAAACATTTCGTAGTACTAGAATTTCGACAAGAATAGGGTACGTTAATCGTTTGCTTGGGACCAATAGGCTACTAAAGTGGTGAGCCAATTTAAAATCGTTAGTTTCGTATTGATTGTTGTTATAACTCTCCAGTCTGGATAGCGTTTAATACATGTCTGATGGTGTTATACAATAATATTACTATTATACCCCGTTCACATTACAGCGTATATCACGTGATATACGCTGTCTTGCAATGAGCACTCATACATCTAGTTTTCACTGGAAATTCTATGTATGAGTGCTCATTGCAAGACAGCCTATATTACGTGATATAAGCTGTAATGTGAACGGGGTATTAAGGTAAGTCGGAATTGCATTCGGAGACGGTTTTCAGTCGTCTTCAGCACTAGTTAAATGCATCGGAACACGCAGAAAAAACTATCGTCGTAACAAAAATATTTGAGGTAAATTTAAACGTAAACTCAGTTTGTTCTGGCCACAAACATAAATTAAGTTGATTTCAAACGTATTCCATGTTTGAAGTCATGTGAAATCAATGTTTAAAATAAAAATAATGTTACGTTTATTTCAAAAATATTCGTGTTGAAAATAAACATATATATTTTTGTTTGGTTTGACAGCTATGCGAATAATAATAAATATGTTTATTTTAAACATGCTTCTCATGTTTAAAATAAACATACATATTTTGGAATTATTTGAGTAGTTGAGTGCAGGGTAAAGCAAAATAAAACGGAAAGAAATAAAAAAAAAGATCTTCGGGCAGGGCATATTAATTCCTGCTCTTTTCGGGTGTGATTAAGGGTGACCTGTGGGTATTGGGGTCCTGGTCCGGGATGCGAGGACCCGTCGAGTGGGTGTCCGGGGGTTCCAGTTCAGTGGAACCGGTGCAAATTTGTGTTATTAGCGTCGTTTTGCCGTTTCTGCCACTGGTCCTCATACCGGTTTCTTTCCGTGTTCGATATCGGAGGAGGATCCGGAATGGATTCGGAATGGATGACCGTTTTCTGTTGAGGTTGAACAAAGCTGGGGCAACTTTTTCCGAATGTAACAAGAAGGAAATAAAAAGGCATGACACGCTAAAAACCGTTCACCCAAATCCTATATTGTTGAAATAAACATGCTTTTGGATTTAATTCAAACATAAATATTTTAGTTTTAAACATGCTTTCAATATACTTTGAAAAATTCATATGTTTACAGTATAAAAATTTATATTTTTGTTTTAAATGAACAAAATTTGTATCCGTGAAGCAGATAATTTTAATTTTTTATCAAAACAAATAAAAACCAAACTTCCCTGCTGAAAATATCACAGAGTGGTTTTGACTCACTCTGCGCGAGTACGTTGATTACTCAAAAGTGAGTAAAAGTGCGCCTACTTCCTGCTTAAATGAGCATGTTTGACTCAATATTGAGTTGTGAATCCCCCTCAATCTAATAGACTAACCGAGAGACTAACAGACTCTTCATTATGGATCATCGTTATCGTTTCCGCAAATTACTCGCCGCAGCGCTGGCATCGGATCACTTTGACGTTTCTTGCATGCAACATTGTTTGCGAATCAGTGATCAAGCTTGATGTAGCTACTGCAGTCCTATGTTTGGCGGTACCAACAATAAATACGAAACCACAGACAAACAGACATAACTCTCACAAGTTGTTCATCGAACAAGCATTTAACGGTCAATTTAAAAGTATCTCAGTTGGTAGTACTGCCACCTGTGGCGCGCATAGTCAATTCCCTTGCGTTTGACGTTTACACACTACCGCCATCTGTTCAGCGTACTATAGTATAGTATACCCACCACAGTGTACTCAATAGATGGCGGTAATGTTTTAACGACGATGTTTTACAATGCGAAATATTCAATGTGTTATGTCTGTTTGTCTGTGACGAAACTATCGATTTGAAATTGGCTCAGTACTTGACTACCCGTAAAAAAAAATCCAATAGAACTGTCATTGTAACCATGATATTTATTGTCAAAACATTGGAAATTTTCATCCATTACCATAAAATCACAACGAAATTCATAGTTTTTGAGAAATTAACAGTAAAAAAGGGGGGTTGTTAAGCATCTTAACAATAAAAAAGGTGATTTTCCTCGAACAAATTTGATCTCATCACACTAAATTTCATTGTTTGAGCATTGTATCGTTAAAAATCGAAATTTATGTTTTCTCCCGTACAATAATTTAACAATACTCGAAATTCAACAGTAAAAATCATTGTAATTTCGTTGTTTTATTATATTTTTTTTTGGGTAGTCTATTGGTCCCAAGCGAATCGATTAACGTGCCCCATTCTAGTCGAAATTCTAGTACTACACAATGTTTGTTTTGATTCGCTATGAAAGTTTGACAGTTAAAATGAGGGGTTCGTGGATATTCCTATGTTTCGAGTGGTGAATCGATTAGCTTGGGACCGAAGATAGTACCAGAGCTGAGCCAAAAAGTTGAGCACGTTTCTTCGGGACCTACTAGTCT